TGCTGCTCCATCATATTCCAACTGTCGTTTTTGAGTTCAACGGTTTAAAAGTGTCGACACGAATTGACTGAAAATGCCATTTTTTGGCTACTTGTTGCAAGAGTTGTCCACGATACGCTGTTGTAGTTCGAATGGGAACTAGCTCTGCCGCATTCAGCATACTCCTGATTGCCATTTGTTCAGGTCGGTGCAGCATGGCTTGGTTGGCAATGGCGGGTCCGCGATGTCGAAGAAGTGCGAAAATGGCTTGGTGGCCAAATCGCTATCAAACCAATACAAGTTCATTCGCCATATTGTCAAAAATATATTGTAAAATATTGTAAAAAATGATGGAAACTATTTTAATTAATATTTTCTGCACCAGTTTTCCACAATGAATGCATTTTTCCAGTGAAAAAGTGATCAAAATTTTCGCAAACACTATCAATACAATAACAATACAGTTTGCAAAAATTAGAAAAAAGCAAAAAAAAATGGAAAAACAAAACCTTTAAAAATGGCCCACTTGACGTATGAATGCTGGTTGCTATCATGATTTTATAGCAAGTATTCGCTCACCGCTTACACAGAGATATAAAGAGCGAAAAGGCGAACGAAATTGCAAAAAAAAAAATAAATAAATAAATAACAAAAACAAAAAGAATTTAAATTAAGATGAAAATAAAGTACTTAAGTGCAAAATTTATTTTAATTAAATAACATTTCAAGTGTTCATTTCGAACTTTTTAATTAAAAAAAAATTTCGTTTCTTTTTTTTGTTTTTTTTTTATAATTTTTCGACTTTATAATGAAAATTTAACAAATTCATTAACACTATACAAGTAGATTTATTAATGCAATCATATGAGGTGCTTATGTATGCACGAAATGTATTATGATTTTAAATTAGAGAGGAACAAAGTGTCGGTAGACCAAGTACTAAAACTATAGAATAGAATTTTTTTTTTTTTTTGTCTAAACAACAAACAAATGTTTGCGGTTTAGGCCGTAGCGAAAATTCTCCCGATAAAATTTACATTTTATGGTCATAACAAAAAATATTTTAAATAAACATAAATTTTATATAAATATTCAAAAAATATTTATGCTTTACGGTTTTTTTTTTTTTTTTGATATGAACGAACGTTAAATGTCATAAATGAATTTGCATCTATATCAGTGAATATATTGCGAAATATGAAGAATATAAATTTTGGGTAGAAGAGAAGCGCGGTCAACAGCGCTATCGAGCAGTTGTGCTAAATCAGTCAGTCTTCCGATATTTCGCCTTTTTTTGTTCAATTTCATATTACTTCACTCTCCGCTTAAGTTGGATGAAATGTTTAATTCTTACTTTGTATGATCATTTTGTCTAAGTTCGTGGGCTGATGCATAGCACCGTCCTTAACTGGCGAGCCTTATAAATAACTACCATTCCTTCTTTCACATAATCCTTCGAGCGCAAGACTTCTCGTCTCCTTTTATGTTATATTTTTATCGGAAAACTTTAATTTTCTTATAGTTTTCTGGTTGCAAATATCGCCAGGATTTGTTCGCTTTCTTAAAAAAGATTATGATAGCAGTTCATTGTCGGCCTTTTTTCGAACTTCATGGAAGAATTTTTTGCTCGTTGATAGCACAGTTGGGGACTAATTTCATATAACGATTTTGTATAGTATTTTTTGCTTAGAGCCATGTTAGCAAAGTAGTGAATAAATATTATCTAGTTTTTGCTCAAAAAAAAAAAATAAATAAAATAAACGAATTCAAAGCGTTTTTTGTAGCAAATGAAAGCAAATAGTTGTTAATTTTCTTTATAAAAATGGTATACGTATATATATATATATATATATATGTGTGTGTGTGTTTGTGTGTATTTGTGTACTCGCCAAAATAAATAACCTTGAAATGGTGTCAGAAAGAAGAAAAAAGTAAAAAAAAAAAAAAAAAATAATATAAATTTATAAAGAGATACGTGCTGGAAAGAGGAGCTTAACGATGTTGAATTTGTTGAGCAAATTTATTTTGGCCTAAATTCAAAGTATATTTGCATATAAATAAGCGGAACCGGAAATAAGGGAAATGCACACACACTGTGCGAAGAATATATACAAAAACTTTAAATGTGTTTGTATGTAAATATGTGCACATATGCTTAAGCAAAAAAAAAAAAAAAAAAAAAAAAAAAAAGAAGATGCATTAGTAATGTGTGATAACATTGATAACGTCAACAGATATCAGACCGAGCCAAATTCGAGCAATAAAAAAGCCTAAAGTCCGGAAGATGTTATAAATTAACAGGAAATGAGATTTATATGTAAAAATTTGTATCTAAGAATTTTCTCTCGTTCCCCCCCTCTCGCTTTTCGTTGAAAACATAAGAGGAATAGAAGAACTATTTAAAAAGACTTATTCAGATGATCGTGGGGTAAGACGGATGGCTCTACCGAATGGGAAAAGAAAGATAAATGTTTCGAACTGACATATACATCTCAGAACTCCTGCTTTCATAGCCTACTTTATAAAGCGAATGAATATCGGATTTGCCCTTGGCTTGATGAAGGCAGTAAGATTCTGAATCGAATAACAGTACTTTTGCAGCGAAGCCGACTTCAGTCATTTCAATGAAAACGATAGCATGAGAAACATGCTTTTAAATTCATTTAATATGTTTGTCTGTCCGTCCAGCAGTAGTTTATTGTGGGGGCATTCACAATCGTGTCATGTTATTTGATGATCATAGATTAAATTTCACATTCGGCGCAAACTTGACTCAACTTATAATCATATATATATTGATCTGATGTTTTATATAAAAACATTTCGAATTCCGAAAGCTTCCTTACCTTAGCTTAAAGTCTCACTTGAGTTAATAATTATTCATGAAAGATTGCGTAACTATTGACTTTTCGGGCATAGCGAACTCTCGCAGTAACAACTGCAGAGGACTATTTGAGATTATTTGTAGCCAGCCTAGGCTCGTTCTCGTACATTATAAAAAACTTTTTTTTGATATATTTCTACAGTGAATTTAATACTTTTTGTTTCATATTCTCTTTTACCTTCAGGTTAATTATTTGCCAATTTGCTAAGCGAAACCAAAATATATATAAAAAGAAAAACGTGAAACTCTTTCCCAAGTGTCCGACAGATGCAAAGAGAATTGTAAAAAGCAGTCTCTTGACAAATTTTAATGAAACTTTATTTTCACTTGTCTCTTCTTTACTTTTCCTATTTGATACTACATAAACAATTTTTATTTAGGGGCGTCCTGCTGTCAACTGTTGGTTTGTTTTCTTTACAAATTACCCCCTTCTTCACCGTTTAATTAAATTTTGCAACATTTTTTTTAGTCCTCGGCATATAAGTTCAACGGCCTTGCAAGCAAATGAAGATTTATTTTTAAAATAAATCTTTAGTAAGACTAACAGAGGGAGAATGAATGGTTGTGTAAATTCTCTTTCCCATTATAATTGCTTTCTCCATTCCATTCTGTAAATGTCAAGGACCAACTTTGAATTCTAACTAATTCGTTTCCCTTGCCTCGCTCCTCTTAGTAAAATTCAGAAAGAGCGGAAACTTCTATATACACACAAAATATTGAAATTTGCCCATATGTGCGTTCAGATCTGTATATACTGCAGACCAAGCTTGCAACTAAACTAAATCTAACGACAAAAAATGCTCCGATACGATTATTATTGACCATTAAATCGCTATCAAATGTTTGGACGGACGGTGGGTCGTATCTTTATTCGACGAATTTGTGATTTTAACTCAGTTGAAGTGCTTCGATCTCGCGACATTCGAGGTCAACTTACGACCTTCTTTCCAGATAAAAACTTTCTGCGGAGATCAAGCCCAGTTGTAAGTAAACGGCTAAGAAAAGCAGCGACTGTGATGATGACGCAAGAATAAAGAAAAAGAGAAAACTTCTCATTATCTCTTTTCAGTTCAGGTTGAAGAGTATTTGACGAAATTATAAAACACAAGATCTATCTAGCGCAAGGCGCTGCAGATGTTGCTCTATCTCACGGGTTTCTTTGTAGACGAGTTTCCATACCAACTTCCATCATTCATTCCATTATTCAAGCCCCCCCTCCCCCCAACCAGAGAATCTTGGCAAGCGCCAATCTGCTGTTTAACCGATACTGTCACCTCTACCCGCCTAAGCAGGATACTCGTGACTTTGTGAACGGGCAACCTAATCCCTGTGAATTCCATAGTTCCTAACATCGGCACGCGTGTGTCATTATGTTCGTAATTTCACACTTGCATTTTGCATACCGGGCAAGACACCCCTACTACTGTCCCCCTTGGATTTATTGTAGTAGGAGAAGCAATCAACTCAGCTACGCCAGACACCCATCACGCTACACTATGATTAGCTTTTCTACAACGTACTGGTTGTGTAGCTGACTACAGTGATGAGGAATTCTGCACCCCTGATACTTTTGAAGACTCCCCAAGGAAAGGAATCCCGTCGCCGGGCAACCAACCTAACGTGACAAGGAATTTGTGCTTTGCATTTCCAAGGCAAATAATAGATTGTCGGGAAAATTATGTCGTATTTAACTATCTGGAGAAAACTTCGCCGTCAGGTCAAGGCAAGCGCACTTGTGCTTTCGCTTTCAAACTTAACCTCTTTATCTTTCAATTTAACTTCTGGAATGCGTTTAATAAACTTTAAGCCACGCTATCTATTCTCATAATTTGGAAAGTCTTAACCAGAAAAGAGACAAGTGGGGCCATAATTGAATGATTAATGGATAATGTTACGCCCATATAAAGTTTATACGTTGCTTGGAGCATCGCAGGCGTATTTAGATATTTCCAGGACCCTGTCACATGAGGAGTTCATCGAATCTCCATCGAATTACTAACAACCGCACAATTAGTGCAACTTTACAAAAATCCCACACCTGATTGCTCGGTATTTTTGAAAAAGATTCAGGATCAGATTTACATCGACACAATTATAAAACGAACATAAAAAAAAATTACATAATTCCATTACTTACCTATGAAACTTTTACGTTTATTTATTGTTGCTGTTATCTGGGCAGATACACCGAAATCGGCCAGCTTAACATCACCGTATTCGGTTAATAATATATTGGCGCCTTTAATATCACGATGCATTTTACCCATGGAATGCAGGTACTCAAGTCCTTTTAGTGTCTCGCGACACATGTAGGCAATTTGTTGTTCTGACAATGGTCCAGTTACTTGATAAATGTCTTGCAGACTACCACCACCACAATATTCCATACAAATCCACAATTTATCACGACGCAAATACGAGCCATAGTAGGCAATAATGTTGGGATGGCGACAATCACGCATCATAATAATTTCTTGTTGTATGATTTGTATGTCATCGGTGGGTTCAAGTTTTATCACCTTAATGGCGGCCAGTTCGTTGCTTTGTATACGTTTTGCCTGAAACGAGACGTAAACGAAAGAACGAAATGGAAAATGATAATGAGAGAGGAAATGAGAAAAAGTTCAATAAGAATTTTTTGTTTTTAATAACATTTTTCTTATCATTTCTTTTTTTTTTTTTTTTTTTTGCGCAGTCATTACTAACAAATAAATGTTTTATGCAAATTTTCGGAATTTCCAATTTTCGACTTTTTTTTATTTTTTTTATATTTTTTTTTGCAAATATTTGAAAAATAATTTTTGCTCAAATTTTATGCAAATCGAAGATTGAATAAAGGAAAACTCGATTTAAAGCAACAAAAAAAAAACTTAAATATATGTATATATATATATATATGTATATAAATTTGCAAAATCGATTTTATAATCAAATTAAGCGGCTTGGTTGAGTTCAAATATTGCCCACGTTCACCTCCCTTCTTTCTCTTTTCAAACTATTACCGCTTACCGCTTACCACTTCAAATACAAAGTTGAACATAGCCACTGTTTAGTTCTTTACTTGTCCCGGTTTGTTTTTCCGATTATTGTAACCTATTTATTGTAAGTTGGCGCAGTTTGAAGGTTCTATTCGGTTGGCCATTACGATCATCATCATCATCATCATCATCATTATATATTACATACTTATATACACAAGCATAATTTGTTATTTGTTTACAGGTCAACGATTTTCGTTATTTTCCAAAAATGTATTTATTAAGTTTCCATTCTATCCTACTCCTCCTCATTTGATTGCTCAAACACTTCAATTATACTCTCCTCCTCTCTATTGGTATGGGTAGGTAGGTATGGGGGTACTATCATCATTTATTCGGATAGTGATGGCGACTGCGACGGTACTGCATACTAATGGCTAGGTTAGTTTAGCTTGTTATTCGTCTTCTCTTCGCTTCTCTTTACACCACTACGCTATGATACTCTTTCGTTTACTTTTTTTGTTTTTTTTTTTGTTTTTCTTTTCTTTTTTTTTTCTCAATTTCAAGTTTTCAATTTGTTGCCGCAATAATTGTATTCATTCAATTTGAAAATTGATGGCACAGACAGTAAAGTACGTTATAAGTATATATATATGTACATATATATATATATGTGTATGTGTACTTGATGTAACTTTTGTTTGTACTCCCCTCGCTATTTACATAGAATTTGGTTTTAATAGCATAATAATACATGAATAATTGCAAAAATAATAAATTTGCGTTTATTTCTATTCTCTTCTCTCTTTTTCTTCGTTTTTTCTTTTTTTTTCTTTTTTTTTTTTTTTTTGCTCCCAATGACTTGTACAAATATGCAAATGAAATTGTGCATAATGTACGAGTGAATAGAAAATGTTACCTTGAAAAAATGTAATTTCGCAAAAATTAATTTGTATTCAATTTAAAGAATCTTTTTATTTCGATTGTTGCTTTCAAGTGAACGGATAACAATTGAAATACTTTTGCGAGAGATATAATTATGAGACCGATAGCATTAAAAAAATAATTGATTATCAATTTGTAAATGTTATATGAGCCCCGGGCGGGCATAGTGAAGTGTTTTAGGCAAATTGAAGAGAAACACTTGTAATGAGTGAGAAGATTAGAAAGGGCCGCAAGAGATGACAATAGACAACTAATTGATTACTAAAATTCAATTCTTCTTGAGAGTGCGAAGAAGAAAAAATAAACACTAGAAAAAGGAAAGTAATGTTTAAGATATATATATATATATAATGTGGATCATGGTGAATATATTTCTTAAAAAAATCTTAAAAATTTAATTAAATTAAAAAAAAAAAAAATCCCATTTTAGTTTTTCCTTCTTTTCTCATTTTCTTTTCACTTTTTTCTCCCTTGTTTAGCTGTTCTTTCAAACATAGAACGGAAGGAAAAAAGAGAAATTTGCTATCTATTCAAGACACTCTCACACCATTGGAGTGTTACTATTAAATATATATTAATTTTATCATTCGGATTGGCTCACCTTGGTGTATGCGTTAGAGACTCGTGATAATACACGCTAAGCCTGGCGTAGTATAGTCCGCAGAGCAGCACATACATTGATTAGTAAACAGACAAGCTTAACAGTCTTTGCTTTGGATTATAGAAACAAGGGAAGAGATGATGCAGTTTATTATCTCTCTTATATGTACCAGGTGTGTGTACATATGAAACCGGAAGATTTTATTCGATATATTGTACACTGCTAGCTATTCATTTTTCCCACTTGTGTGTGTATTTGTGTTTGCCAAAAATCCAATACAAGCACTCCGGCTCTGTTGAGGCAAATTAGTTAACGAGATTCTTTTCGTGCATCTTCATAAGAAGTGATGCAATGGTCAGCAAGTGCGTGTCCCGGCAATGTAAACAAGTGGCGATCGGAAGGACATGAGTTTGTTGAGGTAGACGTCTGGACTTCCCGGCACTTGCTGGTTTCGCGCTTCCACTATATCGCGAAGTAGAACTTTTTACGCAGATGAACGGACGGACGGCGAGTGATTCATACCAATTAACTGGTGTTCGTAGAGTTCGGTATTCACCAGACTTTAACAGCAAATATTAGACGGCACTCATCTGCCTATCCCCCTTATCCTTCCAATGCGATTCAGGCTTGCAGCCAAAGTGGATGGTACACCTGAATTTGCATATCAAGGACATACATCCTGCTTCATAAGCGGCGTTACGGCTATCTGCAGGCAAATTCCGATTTCATATTTACATGACTGAGCGTATATGTGCGCGTTCTAGAGCAATATTTAGAAAGTTTTACTTTTCCGATCAATTTAGTAAATAAAAAAAAAAGGATAGTTGAAAACAATTTCAGTGACATAATGGCCGAAGAAGAAGCAAAAATTTGCTTAGGGTGTATGAGTAAGTGTTTTTCATTGCTTTTATCTTCAAAAAAAAAAAAAAAAAAAAAAAAAGATGTCGTTTTATTAAAACACATATATATATGTACATATATCTGACCTTTGTTAAGGACGAATGTATACAAAAGTAAAAAAGCAAAGAGTTAAAAAGCAAACAAGAAATTGAATGAAAGTTAATTTTCATTGGATAGAAAAAAGGTCAAAGGTGTTAGTAAATGTAAGTTATATTTTCTGTACTGAGGTATTCGCACGACAAAGCATGCTATGCGGGAAGCAAGAAAATCTATAGGACACATGCATAAGAGCTAAATGAACTACTACCGCTCCCGTCAAGTACCACAATCAGGCATAAAACTATTAATGAAAACCGTATAAAAAGTCAAGCGGAAAAGGATTTTTATGAAGCAGTAAAAAAAAAAAAAAGAAGAAAGAAGAAAATAAAAAGGATTTACTACTAAACGCGAAAGAGGTAGGGATGATGATAAAACACGCAGCATTAGCTGTGTGGAATTAATTAACAGAGTAAAGGAAAGGGAAACCTAATGAAAGCACTGGAAGATTTATTTAAATACACACATACACAAAGGCACTTAGCGGAGAAACTATGCAAATATGTATAAAGAAGATGATGATGATGATGATCATGATGATGCCATATGCACTTAAGACGTGACTCGGCATCTAAGTTTTTGTATTATGTTTGGAAAAATGCTTTTTCATCAAAATTGACAACAAAGATAAGGAAAAAAAAAAAAAAAAACGAACTTTATAATAAAATCTTGGAAAAATAAACATTGAAAAGAATTCAAAACATATCCATTAACTAATCCCTGAAATATATGCTCACCACAAAATGCAGATAAAAACCACAAAAACAGACTTTAATATTTTAATCCTACCGAATGACACAAATAGATTTACACACATACACATATATATACGCACACATATACACGAACACCCTTGTATAAACAAAAACCAACAAAACGAAATGAGAATAAGTTAAGAAAGCCTGTATACGCTTTAAGACGAATTTCAAATACTTCCCACGGATGGTAATGCTGTATAATGCATATATTCGAGTATCGGTCAAATTTTTCATTTTTAAAACGCGCAAGAGGAAGTATGGAAGGACCGATCTTAGCTGCCTACAAGTAAAACGTTCTTTTAGGCGAATGAGTTCTAGAATTTGAACGACTTCTATGCCGTCTTGTTATATTCTAGACCCCTTTCGGACATATTATGATGCAAGTAACTTACTAACATTTAACTTGAAGAATACCTGCTAACAGATGAAGGGGGCTGCATACGTAGCAGGATCAAGCTCTCAACTGCTTGCACTGTCAAAATTTTATAAGGACTAGTTTATTGCCGCTTCAACCGCGCTTGTGAAAGTGTGTAATTTTTCAGTTGAAACAATTATTAGGTTAGGGAAGTTAGTGTTAGGCTATTTTCTGGATAGGTTTGATTTTTGTTATGCGAAAAATAAAGCGTCAAAAGTTGATTGTTTTCTAAAGCGAATTTCGTGTAAGTGAAATATGTGAATATGTTAGTGAACATCCATGTTGTCTGCGATTCTATTAAAAACTTTGCAATTGATACGTATAGCACCAGAATGACTGTCTTTCTTCTGGCCGATCACCAAGGTAATCCTTGATACCGGAAAACCATTGGTTCGCATATAATTCAAAATGTGAATAACTCAGCCGAATTTTTAGCTATGAAGCGTGCACTGCATACCAGTTCCATTTTCTATTTTTATCTTCGGGTGATCCACCTGAGTGACCAAAGGCGAGGAATCTCGAATAGCAACTCCATGATCGTAGGTGCCAATTTCAAGTGCTGTAGAGTTTTTAATAAAAGCCGATAGCCTTAGATGCTAGTGCTTGTCAGACTTTAGTCTTAGAATTTATTACTTTGGCGAAATCAATAATAATAATAATATGTTCGGGTGATGACAAAAACCCATCGGTTCGAATATAATTCAAAATATGAATAACTGAACTGAGTGTTTAGCTATGAAGCGCCCGCTGCATACCAGTTCCATTTTCTCTTTTTATCTTTGGGACTTTTTTACCATATGCGTGCTTCAAAGCTGTAGCGCGGTTTATTACTTAACGTTGCAAACGGAATGATAAATTAAGAATG